CCCACCACATTAAAGCAATCGCCGCTGTAGCTGAAATGTAACCAAATTGAAAACCCTATGAGTAGCAGGAAAAGAACTATATTCACCCAAACAAAGGATATATATATATATATATATATATATATATATATATATATATGAGTATTAAAATACTAACAAATATACAACCTAGTATTTGTATAAACTAAATGTTTAGAAGTTAAAATTTTGATTACTCTATTTTGATTTAAATGTAATTGATTAACAAAAGGAGTTGTTTGTACTTTCTTTTGAATTTATATTTCTACATGTGTAATATGTTAGTATGATACAATTGAGACCCTTTTTTGAATTGTCAAAGTCATAATACTCTATTATACAAGTATATATTAGACGAAGTTGAACAAACTATGATTACCAATTTACCATACCACAAAATACCAAAATCGAACTTCAAAATACCAAATTAATTTGATATGATAATGGTATAATAATTTTAAAAATTGAATACCAAAATTTCAAATACCATATCATGTCCACCCCTACTGGCGGACTTTTTTTTTAATAATCAGATCCAAAAAAATAATAATTAATGGGTGTAACTTTTTTAAAAATTATTATTGAATTTATTGTACTGTTTAATTAATGAATTTAAATTTAATATTTTACTTTTTTTTAATAGATCTTCACATATACATTTATATTCCGAGAATAATATGTTGCCCGATGTGTGTTGGTCTTTTATTAAAGAAAAAATCAAACCAACTACATAACGGTCTTTTTGATCGAATATTTAGTGTTTTCCCTCTAAACATACACATACAAACTCACATATATCATAATATAGTAAAATAAAAAGTTTTAGTAGGATAATCAATATAGAAAATAGAAAATGAAATATAGTAAATTATTTTTGCATTCCTCTAAAGAGTGTAATAATACTCACATTCTCTCGAGAATAAATTGTAGAAACTAACACCATAGACAAAGTTTTCAATCAGATTTGTAAACAGCTTTTATGCTGCTGAGTACAGATGATAACATGAGGAACACCTCAATAATGGATGTTGCAGGTATCGACGAAAAAGGATTAAGGTGGGAGAAAGAAGAGAGGAAAATTTGAGAAACTGTGACTTCGGTGAAGATATAGAAACCAATGACTCAAAGCAATCAACTCACACATCGAACCCATAATATTCTCAGACGCGAGGGCAGAAGACAGAATTCTCTTCATAAACAATCGAACATTTCTCATATAACAGGATTACATGTTGCTTTCAGAAATAAAAGAACTATTGAAGTCCTTATTGCTATTCATCTAGTGATCTTCAATAATGTACATTAATTTCCTTCTATGTTAAACATGCTTAAGCATAGAAAAAAGTAATCTTAATTTCCTCCTATTCAGCTAACTTCCTAAGGCGATATATTAAGCATTATTTCCAATCCAGCAGAGAGGAACACTAATCCTGCTAATGTTTTCCTGTGACACTGGTTGAATTGTCCTACAGTAGGGAGCAAGAGTGATATTTGAACTCACACTAAACACGAAATAACCAAATATTGAGTAAATAAAACGTACCATATCAGATGAATTTCCCTGAATGTTGAAAGAAGGATGCACTAGTGGTGCTCTGAAGCTAAGCTGTCCCTGCAACTGCAATTCACTAAGTGATTTAATTCAACAAAAATACGAGATTTAGGTCTTTGTGTTCATACCAGTCCTTGAATACTTTGAGGAGAGTAATGACCACCGTGGGCTGATATATAATTCAAGTTTCCCTGTGAGAGAGGGGAGGTAAAATGGAACAGAATTGGATGAAGCCCTTCGTACTTGTAAAGGGTCAAACCAAAAATTTAGTCCGGCTTCTCATCATCAAGTTCCTAATAAAATAGTTGCCTTACCAGAACACTGTGTGAGGCTTGATGATTGCTGCAATAACTATCTTGTAACATAGAAAATGAACTCAACTGGCCCTGAGAAAATACCAAATCATTGAATGAGTTCTGTTGAGCAAAAAAATATTAATTACGTGCAATTGTTTCAAAGTTTTAACGCAAAAAGAGGATGCAGCACCGATCCATGAACGCTCTGATGAGGAGGAGCATAGTATCCCTCAATAGTTGCCATTCTGGAGCTTAGATCCTGTAGTCATACAAAGAAGGGTCAAAAGAGCTTGACCGCAAGTAAATTATGGTCTAGCTAGGGATATCTCATACCATTCCTTGTACATGCCTCTGAGCATGGAAAGCATCTTCATGAGTTGGTAGTTTTGAGTTTGATTGATCCTACAAAAGAGCAAAACAGAATGAATAAATGTGACCGAGCTTACGACATATGTGCAAACGATTGTAAGCCAAAACATATACCATCTGTAAGCTGCTATCTTGGATCCTGGTAGATAGTACTTCAACGTTAGATTGAACCTACAGTACTTCCACTATTAAAAAGTCTATTTTGGAACTATTGTTGAATCTGCTGAAATCATAAGAGCTTATACTACCTTGCGCTTCTTCTGTACTTTCTTTCTCTTTGATGACTTTGCCATGCTACCACCTTGAATCTCTTCGTTAAAGTTAGTATCGCATTGAGAAAATGAAATGTTAGAGACTAATGCACTCTTCACAGAGTTGTTTGCATTGACACAGTCATGCAATGCAGCTTGGAGTGTGTTTACAGCTGATTCATAGGTTTCCCAGGATAACGATCCAACTTCGCCAAATTTGGCAGCAAGTTTGCAAAGATCATTGAGACGTTGGATCCTGTAACAAGGGTTGCGTGGAATCCCACATGCTGTCCCTTTAGTTTTTGCCTCTCGTGTCCACCGCTCTAATTTATACAGAGCGGGGATATTGGGGACACCAGATACTTGAAGAACCGTAATTGCATGTCTACAAAGAATACCTGCATACTCAAAGAAATGGCATGAACAGACGATGCAGGATTCTCTTGCACACCAGGATACCATAAAACTCTGGTGTTTTTTACGGTCATTAACCCTATACAACTTTTCTGCTCCCTCTTCACCTTCATTCAGAATAGTGCAAGCAGCAACGCCAAAAACCTCAGCTTGAAATTTCATGAATACTGAGTTTGTATAGACAGTGCACATTTGTTTCTCATAAGGAGAGAGAGTTTTTATGGTAGGTAGTCTATGACGTGATTCAATATCAGCTTTTGCTTCCTCTTCATACATATCATGCACGAATAGTTTGTATTGACCAATGAACTCTTTGAATTCAGTCTCAGAGGAAATGTACTTTTCAAAGAAGGAGGATACACTTTCAGACCGCTCAACTGTAGAGAGTCCAGCCAAGAAAGTATTCCTCATGTACACTGGAACCCATTTTGTTCGATTTTCAAACAATGACCGAATCAAGTCATCATCCCTCAGTTTAAATGAATCGACCATTTTCCACCATCTTTTTTCAAATTCTTCTTCTTTAAGTGGAAACCACATGCATTTCTTCAACTTATTTACAAAATCTTCAGGCTTAGTTATCTTATTACCAAGATTTTGAGAAACTTTTCCCATTACATTCCACAAACAAAAGCAATGTTGTGCCTTAGGGAAGACCTCCTCTACTGCTTCTTTCAGGGAAATGTCATCATCGGTAATAACGACTCTAGGACTTTGGCCACCTACAGCTCTAAGCCAAGTGCGCATTAACCAAGAAAATGTTGTTGATGATTCGTCCCCAACCAAGGCACATCCAAGCAACAAAAATTGGAAATGATGATTGACCCCTATGATGGGTAAAAATGGGACTTTATACTTGTTTCTGATGTAATATGTGTCCAAATAAATTACATCACAAAAATGGACATAATCATTTCTACCTTTTGCATCAATCCAGAACACATTTCTCATAGAGTCTATAGCATAGTAAGAATTAGGTCTCTCAGCTTGCATAAGTGCTAAAGTATCAAGCAGCAGTTCCAAATCCCCCTCATCCAACGGGAGCTGCAGTCCTTTTTTCTGGTAAACAACATCGGCAGATTTCTTGCTCCTACCCTTGACAGAGTAATAAAAGTCATCCTGGCAAATTTCATGATTATGCTCCTTCATGAAACTATGTATATACCATTTTCCATCTTGCTTTCTCTTCATATGAATACTGGCCTTGCAATCAGTCTTGGGACATGATCGAGAACTACCAGACTCACGCTTGGTCCCAAATCTAGAACAAGCAATCTTCACATCAATAAATTTCCCCGACTTCTTTGACCTACGACTAGCCTTTATCGTGATGCCAAATCCCACTGACCTCGCATATTCCCTGTAGTAAGAATATGCAGCCTCCTTTGTATCAAATTCTGTTCCCTTATCTATAATATCAACATCAACAATATCCATACCTATCCCATTGCCACTTCTATCAGCATTCTCTTCGCCAACATGACTTTGAATTGAATCATCAATAGCATTTGTATCCACATACACATCTAACTTTTTCGAAGGCAATTGAAGATCAATTTCCATAACTTAAACCCTACCGATGCACATTTTATGAATTACTTCAACAAACAACTAAGGATTTTGCCCTCAGTAGTAATCTTCTAATCTAGTTCAGTTTCATAACTTAAATGTCTGAAAAGGTTAAGGAAAGATCAATAACAAGAAAAATTAGCACAAAAATCAACAGAGCTAAATAAACCACAGCAAATCCAATTAAATCCCAATAAAAAATTGTAAAAAAATAATTCAGTGTCTAATTATGTGTTATTAGATAGAAATAGTACCTGGGATTTTGCCAAATTAGGGATGCAAACTGAAATTGAAGTTCATATGAGAACCCTAAGGCCAGCAATGGAAGGAGAAGACACAGTACCGCACTTCTTCTTTTTTATCTTTTCTGTTCAATTCAAAAAAAAAAAAAGTTCATAAAATTTAAAAATATTATAGTATATTTTACCTACATAGATTCCAAAGTGTTATTTATTCTTTGTTATAAATTCTCTGTATCAACTTAAAATCAGACGAACAAATTAAAATAAATAGAGTACTTTCCTTAGTTCAGATTTAAGTTAATTGTTGGGGTATGACATACATGCTCCTCAAAAAAATATTCATACTTTACACTATTACTTTTTGATTATTTTCAATTATTCTCAAGAAATTATAAAATAGTTAAGAACTTCATTGAATGTAAGATAAATATGAAAAAAGTCTCAACATTTTCCTTGAATTTTTGATAATTTATTTATTTTAAACTAGGAAAAAACTATCAACAATTCACTCAAATTGAATAGAGAGAGTAATAAGTAACATGCATATTTTATGGTAATATGTATGTATAGTTTCAATGGACTTAAAGAAATGATTGGAGAATGAGAAGTTAATTTGAGTTAAGGATAAAATAGAAAAATAAGTTTATTTTACTCTTTATATGTTAAATGAACAAATAAAAGTGAACTCTATTTTTAACATAGTGAAAATGTATAAGTGAATTGAGGGAGTAATAATCAAACTTAGATTTTAATAGCATAACTAATAAGAACAATATAATAAAATAAAGTTATTAATAACTAATTTTTTGAAAAGAGTACCAAACAATAAAATTAAGTAAAATAGAATAGAGAAGTACATTTGTTTATGATAGTCAAGTAAATTACTCTAATATTCATTCGATTTCATTTTAATTGTTTAATATATTAAAAATAAATATTTTTTATTTGTTCATTTTAACAGATTTGAAAAAATTAATTATTTTATCTAATTTCAGCCTTATCATTAAATAAGTAAAAATTTCATAAGATGTCATATTCAACATATGATTATTTAGCGAATACTCAATTTTTTTTTTTAAATTGCACATTTATCCATTTTTATTAGTATTAAAGGTTAGTATCTTTTACTTGTCCATTCTAAGAATAGGAGTATTATTTTATATATTTATTTAATAAAAATAATATTAAAAATATAAATTTCTCTTGATTTATTAGATAGATAAGTAATACTCCCTCCGTCCAACAATAGTTGTAAACTATTGACTTGGCACACCCCTTAAAAAATTATAAATAGAAGGGTAATTTTATTATATTACCATTTATATAATAAATACAATGTCTTGAAAAATGTAATCGGGAATGATTATAATTAATGATAAGGATAAATTAGGAACTAAGTGTAAAATTATCCATGAATTTCATAAAGTGGACAAGTATTGTTGGAATGGACAAGTATTATTGGACGGAGAAAGTAAAAAAGATGTATTTTTAGTATAACAATGAAGTAAAATAGAAAGGAGGAAATAAGTGAAAGTAACACAACTTAAGATATCATAATTTCTAAAATTTCTTATCATTAAAAAAAAATACAAAAATCCCCTCTCATTTACATTCCTATTCCTTATCGGATACATACCTGATACCTCCCCTCTCGATTACATCCATTCCCTCCCGGATACATTCTTATCCTCTTTCGGGTACATCCCTCCCATTAAGTAATGTATCATTTGCAACGTATCGAAGAACAAAATAATATATCCGAGAGCAATGAAAAAATTGAAATTTTTATAATTGAAAAAACTTTCGGAATAAGATGTAATTTACTTTATACTAAATATTAAATAATACATAATCATTTTTACCTGAATGACTTTCTTATTATTTTTTATAATAGTAGTACTAAACATCCTGGTTACTGAATTAATACAAATCATGTGCCCTTTTCAATTATTTGTAACTTCAAGTGGAACAGTAAGTAACCAATTATTTACATGTTCTAGTCTCGTTTAACATTTTTCTTTTACCACCCATTATTTGGCAAAAACTAAGAGATAAATAACACTGTATATTTTTCCTTCTGTTGGTAAAAAATAAGTGACTTTCTTACTTGTTCCGATATTTGGTTAGTAAATAGAAAGTATTATTCCAACATCATTTATATATAATCTAGACAAATACTATGACACCAGACCAGACCCAATGCTTTCACAATCCACAGAAGTAGCTTCAATTGAAGATTGCATAACAGCCAATAAAGATATTGCTCTACAACTCCTTAGAGGTTGGGGAGTGGAACAAGTTTCATCACCAGGCTAGACTTTAAGACCTTGACCCAACACAAAACTCAATTATGTACCCCCGGCTCGATACTCACCTCTCAACCTTGACCGAGACCTATGGTTTGAATCCAACTTCAACCAAACTTCCAAACCTAAGCCCAAGACACCAACACCAAACTTCAACCCTGACTTTCAATCCCAATTCAAGACTCAACTCACAACCTCGACACTGACCCAAGTCTCAACCCTAACCCAAATCTGGATTGAGAATTGAATAGGCGACTGAACAGGTTGAAAGAGAGTTTTGAAAAATATTTTTTTTCAATTAAGTCTACTTAAAATACATTTTTCTTTCCACTGAAACGCACTCACTATGAAAAGGACAACTTATTTTGTTACAACAAGACACCAAAAAGAAAAAGTAACATATTACAAAAAAATACTTTCCATCTAAACAATCTCACCATTGGGTTGGAATAAAACATGCTTCAGAGCAGAAATATTTTTACTTCATCCAGCTTCTGTCCAATTTATACTCAACAACTGCACCCAGCTGGACTCCAAGAGCCCCTATTTATCTTCACCTCAATAATCTCTTTCACCCAGCAATTAATAAAACAGCATTTACAGGTGAAATTAACTTAGAGCTGTCTATACTTATCCTCTCTAAATACCAAAATGAAAAGAAAGATAGAAACACTTATTTATCAACAAATGGGAAGAAAAAAAAAGGCACTGCCTACATTTACAACTCATTTGCTTTAACTTGAAGAAAAGTGTACATATCTTCACATCAATCATCTTTACTTGCAGTAACTAATACATCCCACAACAGCCTTTACAGGGTGAAATTAACTTAGAGCTGTATTTACTCTTCCAGCTCTAATATCAAAATGAAGGGAAAGATTAAGGAGTTTGTTTATCAAAGAACAAAAGTAAAAATAATAAAAGCACTGCCTACATTGAAGATCCTCTTTTATTTTACAAACAAATACTACAACATTCTTCCTGTTGGTTGTACTTCCATAAACAGCCTGTAATGGAAGTTGAAAGAAGAACCTCATCATTCAATAGGTTCAACTTGAACACATCTGTAATATCAACTAGCAATGGAAAAACATATACCTAATTAATGACAAAGGTGATCCTCATGGATGTCTAGATGCTTCGTCGTGCAATTGAGAAGATCTTACATTGGGTTCGTCCTGTAAACATTAAGAAAAGCCATATGAGTCCAGCAGAATTTAGTGGTACTGCACTTAGCTAGACTAATTTTCCCATGTGGAACTGGAGTTCCTGCTTGCAACATTGCTAAACTATTTTTTAGCAATATGAACTACCATTGCTTATTTTGCATGTTTTGTACAGCAACTGCAGTTGACCATTTTTATTACTTTAACATTCACCTAGGCTTCCCCCCAATTGAGCAAGGAAAGAAAGCAAGTTAGTATATGCAAAATTCAGTAATGTTTTGGCTTGTCAAATATCCCAGTTTCTGCATAACACAGGATTAAAAAAAACACTTCAAAAGCGGCACATGAATGTGTTCCAAGGCAAAGAACTGAATTCCATAACTTGACTAAAAGCTCATACAAACAATTCCTAGTCAGATTAACACAGAATACAAAAGGCTCCCTTATCCTTTTAGATGGTTAGATGTAACCTTGCTATTCTCCTGTAACACATACTAAGAAAGCACCTCAATCTATAAACTCTGCATCGTGTCTCTGGGCCAAAAGTTTATGAAGCTCCATGGTTTAACCTTATATCAAGCAATTGTTGTCAAAACTACAGGCATCATTAACAACCAAGATTTGGGAACACTTCTTATTTATCAAAAATGGCTCATACACCCCTTTTGATAAAAAAATAAAATAAAAATGGCTCATACAAATTTAACAAAATAACTGCAACAGAAACCACTTTTTATGACCTCTTAATCATATATTCAGGAATCTTAGTCGTGGTCTCCAACTCTCCATATCAACATCTACCCTCCATCATAGACAACAACTGAGATTATTAAATATGTGAAAATCCATGTCTCCTGCAGATCCTGGTTCCTTTCTGTTCACAGTTCTTTACATTAGTGTTGCAGTGAAGAATTATAGCCTCCTTTTTGTACCCTGTTCTTTCTTGATGTTAATTACGATGATGTTGAATCGTTTGTCCATCAATTTTGTTATAGTATGGACTGTCATAGACCGTCTTTATTACTTTCTGTTCCCTGGCTTTCCTTTATGTTAGTACACTGACATTGTATGTCCATCAATTTTGTTTCAGCAATCTGCATGGTCTTATGGCTAAATTCCACTTTGATGATATAGAACGAATTAAAGTCTTAATAAAGAATAACCTAAATACATGGTCAACATCCTGCAAAGTATTCAAACTATGATGACCAGAGAACTTAGTAGACGTTTCTCAAAAAGAGGTTCAATATCATAATACCAGATCAACTTCAAGAATACTTTCCATCATAAAACCTAGTTGATAACCAAAAATAAAGCTCACACACTAACTTCATGAACCTATTCTAACAAGACCAAGACTAAGTCCATGTACCCATATTAACTTAAAAATGCAACAAATTTGCAAGCTACCATCTCTGAACTTGTACAAGGATTTGTCACCAACCTAGTCTCTTACTGGCATCCATGTGGCACTATAACTAAACTACCCTCCTTATTAGAGACTAAGCTCAGCCTCACAAAAGGTAGCTTGA